CTCCGGACCCCAGCTGCTGGCCGGGCACTTCCCCTCCCCGGCTCCAGCTGCTCTGCTCCGACAGCTGGGGTCCGGAGTCAAGGGGGCTGCCCGAAGCCGGTAGCGCTGGCTCGGGCAGCTTGGCTGTTAAACAGAGCCGATGTCTGAGTCCAGGGAGGAGCAGAGCAGCTGGAGCCGGGGAGGGGAAGTGCCCGGCCGGTATTTTTCCCGGACATGTCCGGCTTTTTGGCAATCAAACCGCCGTCCGGGGGGGATTGCCAAAAAGCCGAACATGTCCGGGAAAAATACCGGCCGGGCACTTCCTCTCCCGGGCTCCAGCTGCTCTGCTCCTCCCCGGACTCAGACTTCGGCTCTGTTTAAGAGCCAAGCTGCCCGAGCCAGCGCTACCGGCTTCGGGCAGCTTGGCTCTTAAAAAGAGCCGAAGTCTGAGTCCGGGGAGGAGCAGAGCAGCTGGAGCCAGGGAGGAGAAGTGCCCGGCCGGCGGCTGGGGTCCGGAGGCACGGGGGCTGCCCGAAGCCCGAGTGCTACTGGCTTCATGGTTTGCCCAGGCAGCCTCCAGACCCTGCGCCCCCGGCTGGGCGCTTCCCCTCCCGGGCTCCAGCTGCGCTGGGGAAGCGCCGGCTTGGGGCGCAGGGTCTGGAGGCTGCCCGGCAAACCGTAAAGCCGGTAGCGCTCAGGCAGCCCTTTTCACGTGGCTGGGAGGGAGAAGGGGGAGTTAGGGCAGAGACTTTGGGGAAGGGGCGGGGAAAGGGTGGAGTTGGGGCGGGGCCGGGGGTGGGAAAGGGGCAGGGCCGGGGGTGGGGAAAGGGGCGGGGCTAGGGCCGTGGAGTGTCCTCTTTTTTTATTTTTTAAATATATTATTTAAATAATGCAACCATCTCTGGGATGGAGGACTGCAGCCAGCCAGCATATAGCACATCAGTGTTGGGGAGAGGGACTTTTGGTCAAAGACACCACAGCAAACATCTGCTCTTATGAAAAGAGCCCCAGGATCTTTAATGACTACACAGATTAGATAGGACCTTAGTTTCAAAGGTCTCCCCCAGAACACACACACTCATTTTGTCTCATTTAGAAGGATGAAAGGCAGAATTGTTTCTATAGGGATTTGAACCTGTAATTCTAGGAATTATTACAGAGCAGATGTTTAGACGACTCAGTGACCGCCCCTGCCTGCCCACCTGAGCTCCTTGACCATGGCACTAAAACTGTTGCGATTTGGTAGCCACAAATTTTAAGTAAAGTGCAACTATACAAATGTCTCTGGGGAAGTCCACTGTCTTTTTTCCCCCCTGAGACCACTACAAATGCATTTTCAAAATGGTGATTTTGTCATTCTGGAGTGAAACCCCACTACAATTTTGCAGGATTTTCATTACCAGGTAGAAAAAAGACTCAGCGGGGGAAGAGCAGTGAGAACTACTTTCACTAGAATGAATCCAATTTTTTGTCAGGCTATCTCTTGCTGCTAGGGTCACTACCCTTTGACAAAAATGGCCTCTGACCTCTCCAGCCTCACAATTCTGTTGTGACTGACCCTGAAACCCATGAAATTCAGGGGCAGACACTGCTTTGGAAGGTTTAGATAAAGTGACAAACACGGGAAGAGCTCATGGAATGCGCCCTCTGAAAAGGTCTGGCAGCTCTTTGGGGGAAGATGCAATTTATTCTGTTCGCCTTTCATTGAAATCCTAATCTTTCATATGCTACCTAAGGTGTAAACTCAAATGCACAGATGATAAATGACAATGTGCCTTCAAAGTGCCAGTGACTGTTTTCTAGAGGCTATCTTTTAGGTTTTAATAAAAAGGTATGTCAATAATTTGAATGTTTTATTATTTTGGAGAGAGAGAGGTCTAGGCAGGTTTGTATTTTATTATATGGTATGTAGGTTAAAAAAAACTACCATAGGATTATTTTTGCTTCATTTCTTTCAGAAGGTACTATAATGATATGTTTGAAGTAAAAAAAAAAAAATCAGATTAGTGTTTAGGCTTGGATTTTGTTCCTCTATGTCCCAAAGGTTGGATGATGTTCTGATTTTGGGTTCCAGTTCAGCCCACTATGGATTGAGGCCCTAATCAGAAAATTTTAGATCCAGATTTGGATCTGGATTACTCATACACACATGCGCAAGATATTCAGGAGTGTTTCTATTTGGAGGTCCATTAGTAATTGCTAATGCCCTCGCCTCAGGATATATTCAGCTATGCAATCAAATATTTGAGAGCAAGAGATAAGTATTCTTCAAGCTTTCTAAGTGAGAGAGCACTCCTGGGAGTCAGGAAAGGGGTCTGTGTTGAATAAGTAAATTCCTCCTGAGGGAGATAAGTAGCAGACCCCTCTGAAGCAATTTTTTATTGTTGATTTCAAAATAGGCAATTTTCTGAAATCTGGACAGTGCATTTTATAAAATGTTCTGAATAGGTAAAATACTGTTCAAGTTTTAAGTGTTTTTTATTGCTGTAAACCTATAGATGTGTATAATGCTTCACAAAAAAATATAGGAACACAAGATCTCTACCCTTATGTTTTGAGAGCTCATCCTGCATTTTATGTGCACCCATAACTCTTGTTGATATCAGATTGACCTCTTGCTCTTTTAATGCAGCAGGTGAAATAGTGGGCAGGGGAGTGGAGGAGGGAGCTGCTGGTTGTGACATGCTACCATTCCATGGACACTAATGCTAGTCAGGCCATTATAAACTCACATCATTAATTTATCTGCAAAAGGATTTACTGTGCATAGGCAACTTTGGAGAGCCAACCGTGTTGTCACTTGAGAAGGAGAGTGTAATTTTTGTTTCTAAATGGAAGCTAAGATTCTCACGTAATAATATCAGTCCAGGAGGTGGGACTTGAGGAAAAAACACCAACTATACTGAACTCTTGATCGTCACAAGAGATGGTAACACCACGGGTATCAGGCTTATCATTCACTGACAGTGACACTGCTTTGTTTTCTTACTGTAGAGCTGTGGTTCTCAACCAGGGGTATGTGTACCCCTAGGGGTACGCAGAGGCCTTCCAGAGGATACATGAACTCATCTAGATATTTGCCTAGTTTTACAACAGGCTACATAAAAAGCACTTGTGAAGTCAGTACATACTAAAATTTCATACAGATGATGACTTGTTTATACTGCTCTATGTACTATACACTGAAATGTAAGTACAGTATTTACATTCCAATTGATTTATTTTATAATTTTATGGTAAAAAATGAGAAAGTATGCAATTTTTCAGTAATAGTGTGCTGTGACACTTTTGTGTTTTTATGTCTGATTTTGTAAGCAAGTAGTTTTTAAGTGAGGTGTAACTTTAGGGAATGCAGAACACATCAGACTCCTGAAAGGGGTACAGTAGTCTGGAAAGGTTGAGAGCCACTGGTGTAGAGTGCGCCACAGAATTCAAAGACTCAGTCCAATTGTGTGGTGTGCATACTTGCCCAAGTGGTAACCCCCCTAGTGGGACCCGTATTTGCAGCCTCCTGCAAAAGAACATAAATGGTACAGAGCCTGCGGCCGGGGCCGAATGCATGTTGTCAGGGCCGGCTCCAGGGTTTTGGCCGCCCCAAACAGCCAAAATAAAAAAAAGCCGCGATCGCGATCTGTGGCGGCAATTCAGCGGAAGGTCCTTCGCTCCAAGCGGGAGTGAGGGACCGTCTGCTGAATTGCTGCCGAATAGCTACCCCAAGCACCTGCTTGACAAGCTGGTGCCTGGAGCCAGCCCTGCATGTTGTTATTCGTTGTATTAGCCACCACGGTAGGGACACGTTGTGATGGCTATCGGGCAGCTGGGGAAACCGAGGCACGAAGGAGTGGGGGACAAAGCACACACATTCACACGCACAGCACATCAATGCTCCAGCGGAGACTGTGATAATTAAAGTTTCTCCGCCTTCCCGCCCCCGCTAATACCTCCACAGGCATAGCCCGTACGGACTACAACTCCCAGCATGCAACACATCACGAATAGGCGGCAGGTCCCGCCATGCATGGCCGTTTTGCTGACGCACTGTACGCTGGGAAATGCAGTCTCGGCCAGCCTCAGCCTTGCCTGAGGAGGCATCTGGGGCTTCTGCCCCGAACTGCGGAGGGAAATACAGCGCAGCCAATAGGAACGACTAAATGGGCAAGAGCCCGCCTGCCCCGGCCCGCTCTAGCCAATAGCGACCGAACTCTCCCTTCGCTTCTTCGCCCCGCCTACCCAGATGGGGCAGGGCGGGGCCAGGCCGTTGGTTTCCAGGGCAAACGTGGCGTCACTGGCGGTGAAGGGTGGAAGGTCGGGGAGCAGCTGGGTGGGTGTTGGCTGCCGCTGGCGGAGGAGCTGCGGCTGTGGTGCCCGCGGCTCGGGAGCGCCCCGCAGGCATGGAGTTGGAGACGGCGTTGGAGGCCGTGAGGGGGCGCGGCGGGGCCGAGGGCCTCGAGCGGGTCCTGGGCCGGTACAACGAGAAGGTAACGCCCCCCCCACCGGGCAGCCCCCCTCCCAGGCCTCGATATAACCCACCGTCGCCACAGCCCCGGCCCTCGGTATAACCCCCCCTCGTGTAACACCCTCGAACCCGCTCGCGCAGCATCCCCGCCCCAGTGTAACTGTCATCCCCGCTTCCAGCTCCTTGGGCACAGCGCTGCCAGTAGCCTCCTCTGCCCTGACCCGCCCGCTTCCCTCGCCGCCCCGTGTTATAACCGCACTTACCTCCCCCCGCCCGCCATAACCCTCGCCAGCCACCCCCCCCCCTCAGATTTACCCTCATAAAACTCTCCCACTGACCCCGCCACGCGGGACTGCTCTCCGTGCACCGCATAACCCCCCGCGGCCCCCGTTACTCCCTGAACTGCCCGCTTCGTGACTCCAAGTGACGCCCCTGCATTGGTCACGGACACCTGTTATCTCTGTAAAATCCCTCCTTACCCCCGTTTCCTGATTCCCCCTTCCCTTGTGCACCCCTGTTCCTGCCTCAGATCCCTTAGTATAGTCCCCTTCTTTCCTGTTTCCTCCCGTAATCATTGTTCTTTGCTGGAATGCGCCTAGTTACTGCCTCTAACCCCCCCAATCCCCACCCCCCTTTTTTTAACCTCGTAAGTTTCCACAAATTAACAAACACCGGTTATCTTTCTTAAGTGATTCCCCAAATACACCTCCCTTAAATAACCTCCTTTGCTTCTTCACCCAGTCTCACCTTCTCTACCACAAATACAGCTTAGTTCCACATGGGAGGATATTTAATTACACAATGCTTATGTGACTTTCACACGCTCATATACACTCTCTCTTGTTTTCCAAGTATGTGTGTATGTATGTGTGTATCTATATGACACCCATGCAAGAAATCAAATCAACCACAAGACCTTTATTACCCTCTCTCCCCACTCCAATCAAAACCATGTAGTTACTGGTACCACAGGCTGATGGCAGAGCTGAAAAAAATCATGGTATTCTTATTTCTGAGTGGGGATTTTATTTTGTGAGGGATCAGTAATGAGGTGATTTCAGGGCAGGTTAATATTTACAAGTGTGTGGTGATTTATAGCTTCTCTCCCCCCCCCCCCCATTTGTCATTCCTTAGGTTTAGGGTATGCCATGTTTATTCAGTGTCTAGCATGAAGGGGCCCTGATCTTGATTGGGACCTTTAAGCATTATCCTAATGTAAAATACTCTGACCTGAATGTCTCATCACCTTGCCTAGGCTATAAATCACCATGCACTGTATGAATTCTGTATGACTGTTAACCTTCCCTGTAATGTCCTCATTATTTATGCCTCACAAAATAACAGCCACGTTCAGAAATAAGAATACCATAATGATTTTTTTAGCTTTGCCATCAGCCTATAGTACCAGTGACTGCAAGGTTTTGATAATATGACTGCAGAGTTGGTGAGGGAGTGGATGGGATTGCGCTTGAGTCACTCCATTCCTTTCGCCTGGAATATGATGTTGGGTAACTTCTCATCCACCTGAAGGACGCTCTTGGATAGGGTTCTCTTGTTACTCATCCTGCTTGGTGTATATGTGAGGCCCCACTAGGTGATGTGGAGACCAAGTGGTCTGTGACTGCTGTCAGTATGTGAACGAGGAGCTCTCTCTTTCATAAAATTCAGGAGGCATAGCTTATTTAATTTGCTTGTGTACCTGGCCCCAAGGTAAGGGCATGAGTGTGCAAGAAAGCCCGCTGAAGCTCAGTTCAGAAAAGGCTGAGCTGAAGATGCTGGCAAGAAGTATTTGGTGAGTGGTGGCAAAGGGCATGTCTGCTTCCATTACCACAGGGGTATGCCTATGTGAAGTCAAGGGGTTTGGGGATATTTTTGGATTCCCTAGTAGCATGAGAGCCAGAAGTGTAGTTTTTCACTTGTTGGGCTAGATCAGTTGTTCTGAAACTTCATTGCACCATGACCCCCTTCTGGCAACAAAAAATACTACACAACCCCAGGAGTGGGGACTGAAGCCTGAACCCTGCTGCCTCCGGGTTGGGGGGGGGGGGGAGCTAAAGCCAAAGCCTGAGCCCTGCTGCCTGTGGGGGGGGGGGGGAGAGCCAAAGCCTGAGTCCCTCTGCCTTGGGGGGCGGGCGGGGGGGAGGAGAGCAAAGTTGAAGCCCAAGGGCTTCAGCCCCAGGCAGGGGGAAGCTGTAACCTGAGACTTGCCATCCAGGGATGAAGCCCTCGGGCTTGGGATTTGGCCCTGGGGTGGTGGGGCTTCGGCTTTGGCCCCAGGCCCCAGCAAGTCTAATGCCAGCTCTGGCAACCCCATTAAAATGGAGTTGCGACCCGCTTTGGGGTCCCGACCCACAGTTTGAGAACCACTGGGCTAGATGATTGGTTCCATTTTTGTCTGATGTGGAGTTCACGACGTCTAGATTGTTGTTGTGGTGTAAGATTGTCAGCTGTCTAATCACACAACCCCAGACAGCCTTGACCCTCACTTTCTCTGAGGCCCTGCCCCCTGCTCACTACATCTCTCCCTCCCCCCCGGCCCCGTTTTTCATTGGGCTGAGGCAGGGGGTCGGGGTTCAAGAGGAGGTGCAAGGGGTGGGGCTGAGGGGTTTAGTGTGTGGGAGGGGGCTCTGCGCTGAGCCTGGGGCAGGGAGTTGGGGTTCAGGAGGGTGTGCGGGATGTGGGCTTTGAGAGGGAGTTTGGGTGCAGGAAGTGGCTCAGGGCTGGGGCAAGGGGTTGGGGTGCAGGCTCCGGCTGGGCAGCACCCAGGTGGCTCCCAGAAGCGTTTGGTCAGGCTTAGGGGCGGCTCTGTGCGCTGCCCCTGCCTGCAGGTACCGCCCCCGCAGCTCCCATTGGCCGGGAAGCTCAGCCAATGGGGGTTTTGGAGTCAGCGCATGGGGCAGGAGCAGCACTCAGAAACCCCCCTGGCTACCTCTGTGCCTAGGAGCCAGAGGGATGTGCTGGTCGCTTCCAGGAGCCATATGGAGCAGGGCAGATAGGGAGCTTGCCTTAGCCCCGCTGTGCCACCAACTGGACTTTTAGTGGCCTATTAAAATCTCCCAGATTGCTTTCAATAGCCACTGGGAGATCGAGGCCGATTCCGGGAAACTCCTGGCCAATCTGGGAGGGTAGACTACACCACCTCGGGTTGCCAGTCTTTGAAGATCATTTGACATAGAAAGTAGGTGCCTAATTCCTTATTCCATCAGACCACTGTTACTTCAGACTTTGGAGAACAGCTGTATCTTCTAGCATGCTTTTGGATGCAGTTAAAGGTTTATTCTGAACTCTAAATCTGCCAGGTGCCATTACAAACTGATAGCTAGATTTCTTAAGGCACATGAAAAAACCACCTATTACTCTAGGCACGCTTTTTAAATTTTTAAGAAAAGAAAACCCAGCAGATTCTAAAAGCAGCAGCAAACTTTTGTTTTGTAGGGAGATAAGTTATTTCTTTAATAGAAGGACCCAGTTCTGTGTGTCTCTAACTTTTAAGAGCTGTTTCTCGGTGGTTGCAGATGGCTGTTTAAAAGAGCATTTATTTAGATGCTCATTCCTTCTCTTTCCACTCCCTGGCCTCATCTGCAGTGGGCGCACCAAATGCGTGTTTTCTCTCTTGCTCAAAGATACCTTACCCCCATTGAAGGTTTCTCTAGTCTTTTCAAGGTGTCGTATTAATAAAAAGATGCTGTCAAGGACTGGGCCCCTTTCTTTCACTCAGACATCTGTGATGAGGAGGTGGTATTTGTTTGTGAACTCTTCCCATCTAGCTCGAATAGATGTTCTGCTTGGGGGAGTCCCACTTAATACTGAGCCAGATTTTGTTTCCTAAAGACATATCCAAAGCCTGTCCTCTGCTTCTTTCTACCCAGAGACCTTCTGCCGGTACCTTTGTGACCATTAAGTGTAGTTAAAAACAGCTACCACTTCTTGCGTTGTTGGGCAGGTCTGATGTGAGGGGAATTAAAAGAATCATAATTTGACCTTGAGAGCATGTTGTTACTTGAAGAGACTGATGCTGATAACTTTTGATAGTGAGTTAGACGTTTAGTTTTTGCCAACATAGGTGCATGCTTGGTGCCATGCAAGGGAAGAGTGCCTGTAGATAAGCCATGTAAAGCAGTCATGCTTGTCCTTTGGATCATTTATATGAAAGGTAGCAGCTTGTCATTTTTTCCTCTTACAGTGTTAAAGGACAGAGATAGTAAAGATTCAATGTTCATTTCATTAGATAAAATTACATAGCTTTGCAAGAGTCTTGCACTCTATTGCTTTCTATCTCTCTTTAGCGTTCTTAAAGACCAAATATTGTTAAAATAACTAATTGGTGTTCTCAAGTTAAGAATTTTTTTCTAACAATATTTTTTGCCACTTGAGTGCTGATTAATTATTAATACAGTTCAGAATATTCTAAAATAGAACTAACATCCATAACTAGCTCAAGTTCTTAGACCACACCTTCCTCACACTTAATTGTACCCATAACGAAAGAACCCTAGGTGATGCATTTAGACAACCAGTAAAAATTAGAAATTGAAGAAATGTGTCAACAGATCTTGTACTGTACTCACTTTTATTTGAATCAGCATTTTCTGGATGAATTATTTTAAAAATACCCCAAACTTGGAAAGTCTGCCTAAAGCAAAATTTCCCAACCTACAAATCAGATGCACCACTTAGTTTGTAAAGCCTGAGTAACTAGATAGCCTTGCTGTTTTACACATGTAACTAATCCTCAACACCTGAGTAAGGTGAAAAGATGGAGATAATACCTACTTACACACAAGGGAAACTGCAGTTACCTCGCTGGCCTGATTCCACTGCTCATTGAAGTTTGTGACAAAAATACCCCTGATTTCAATGGGGTCAGTCTTTGGCCCTAAGTGACTTGGCCATGACCGCAGAGGGAGTAAAGGTTAGAACTACATAGCTCCTGGATCCAGGCTCATACGACAACTATAGAGGGTAATTGGGGAACAATTTAGACGCACTTATTGCAAGCTTACTGTAGTCTCACAGTTGGATGCAGTGGGTTAGATTACATGATTCAAGAAAGTCCCTTTGCACCCTATCAATTGAGATTCATGTTAAAACTGTGAAATTTGTTCTAATGAGATTATGGCAATTTTACATTTAACTTATTTCTTTCTCCAGAATAGGGCCACTTTCAAATTTGATCCTGCAGATGAGGAGAAAAGAAAGGTAAGCAAAACAAACCTTTCTACTTGTGCATGCCCCCTTTCAGGCAGTCTTTCCTTTGCTCTGTGTTGTTTACAGTCCGCTACCACTGAGGTGACACAACCGGCTGTAGTTTGTCATGCTTATGACATGCATGTTTTGCCTCACTGTGCTTTTGGGAAAAAGAGTTTCAGAAGACCTGATAAAGAAAAATAACAAAAGAGCCAAGTAATCTTGTTGGAGGTTCTGATTAGGAAAAATAAATGAAGGGACCACTAACTCAACCGAGCAGGTAGAAGCAAATGGAATTCCCCATTCTTGGAAGATTTGGGTTAGTAGAAAATTTTTCATTTCCCATTCATCAAACAAGACATTTGCCTACTTAGTGAGTACACAATACCATTTTTCTCTCCCAGGAAGTGAAGAGCTGTCACTGATGTGCTTCTGAATACACCATTCTGAAAGTTTTGTGGCTTCTTGAAAAAGATGGTCTGATCTCAACCTCTGTCTGTATAATATGTGACTGTAAAATTGTCCATGAGAACTTGGATTGAAGAGTCCTTGATGACAAGCAGAAAGGTTTGCAAGCTAATCTCACTGCTCTCAATTCTAGTATGTTTATGTGAATCACCGATTCTAGACATGACCTGAGGACACAAGTAATATGTGCATCTCAGCCTATTTTGGATAAATCAGTTACCAGAGCTTCAGACATGACTGGAGAAGCAAATGGAATTCCCACACATACATTTCCCTTTGTCATCTATCATTCCATCAAGGCTCCAGGATTTGATATGGAATCAGTACTTTTAATGACAAATCATGGAGTATTGGTTTCTAAGCCGACTTGTTCCATGCTTGAAGTGGTCTGACACACACAATCTGTCGAATGGGCTTACAAATGTATATGAATCCATATGGCCTAAAAGTTTGAAACTTTCTCATTGTAGGCAAAGAGTAAGTACAGATGTGAAGGATACAATTTTTTTTATTTGAAATATGTTCAGTAGAAAGAATGCTCTCACTGCTACTCAATCTAGAATTCGTCAGAGTTCTCCTATAGATCGGGACAGATCCAGATTTCACTTCATGTTGATCCCCAAACCCAGGGATGAAAATAAATTAATCACTTTACTTGCCGTTGCTATGACTTGCATTTGTGACTTCCCCTTTACAAGCCAGTTGTCCAGATAAAAGTAAATGTGCAATGCTTGTATGCATAAATGAGCTGCTAGCCCTGGCAGGCGCTTCATAAACACCCGCAGTGTCAATGACATCCATTCTGGCACTTCCTTTCAGAATAACAACTCCCCAGAGCCATAAAACTTGGCATTTGTGAGTGCACTTGCACATCAAAATAAATGTCCTGTAAGTTGAGGTAATGAACTAATCCATGGTATCTAGTGCTGGGATAATTGAAGCGAGAGTTACCATGCAGAACTTGGTGTGTTGAATATATTTAAAGTTCCTGAGATCTAAAACTGAATGCCAGCCACCTTTTTTTTTTTGGGGGGGGGGGAAGGTATGAGAAAATAAAGAAATTAGAAGCCCTTCTGATGTACTAATTCTAATGCTCCTAACTTGATGAGGTCATTTTTCTGCTGGCATGTGGCATTCTCATGAGACTAGTCCCTGAAAAGGAACTGGGAAGTGGGACAGGAAGGAAGAAAAGGTTTGAAATTGAATGGCATAACAATCCTTGCCTCCTTGAAGGACCCATCGATCTGTGGTGAATGGCATCCAAGCCTGCAGGAAAAAAGATAGACAGGAATCAGAGTGTGACATAAAAGGGCATAGATCTTTGTAGATTAGTACAAGATCCTTGACCATTGCATCAAATCTGATGTCTCTGTGCCTGATCCACTGAGTAGTACAGGAGAGGGTAATTAAGCTGACTTCTTTTTAATATGTAGATCTTTCTTTAAATTGGTCAGAAGGCCTCTGGTGTTAAGAATATGAAAAAAGAATATTGAGCTTTCCTATATCTGGAGATAGAAGACTGAGGACAAAATTCCTTGTTTTTGAAATTCTATAAAATGGGCTTTGAAGCTGTGCTCCAGTTCCAGGCAAAAACCTGCAGCTCCATCAATGTTATAACTGAACTGAACAGATTCTGACCATTTGAATAGCAAGTCTTCAATTGCTGGTTGAACTTAGTTTTACCAAAAGAAGGCAGATAACCATGACGAGTGTTGCATTACAATACCTGTAACTGTTGAACAAGCACCAGAATAGGCAGCATCTAATGCAGTCTGAAGAGAAGTTTTAGCAATAAACTGTCCTTCTCCAGAAATAGTTTTAAATTAATCTCTACATTCTGAGGATAATTTGTCCTTAAAATCTGAGTCTATCCAATTGCAGCTATCATGTCTTGATAACTTGCTGTCCTGACTTGTAAAGATGTTGAATACATTTTCTTTCTGAAAAAAGGTAGTTTCTTGAGTGTGTTTTTTTTTTTTTCCTCCTTAGGAGTAGATTTTCCAGAGTGTGTTGCTCTCTCATTGTCTGTAGCAACAACCAGCGATGATGGTGCCAGATGAGTATAAAAATACTCAAATCTTCTGAATGGCATCTGATATCTATCGCCACCATGAAGTGGTGAAAGTAGCTGAATGGAGGCATGGGCAGCCCAGATATCTTTTGGTGAATCCAATATCCCTTCATTATAGGTGTTGCAACTTTTGACTTGGGCTGCTGATTGTAGAATATCAAATAGTTATGCTTTTTCCTGAACTATATCCAAATGAACTATGTGTGTGTGTACACTATATGCTTCAAGAACAGGAGTGCTTGTGGTACCTTAGAGACTAACAAATTTGCGAGCCGGGCTGCCAGTGCTGGGTGCCCATGGTGTCCAGGAAGTGCCACCCGCTCTACAACCCCTACTTCCCGGACGAGCGCGCCTTCACCACCTTCTGGATCGGCCTGTGGTCCGTGCTCTGCTTCCTCTCCACCTTCACCACAGTCTCCACCTTCCTCATCGACATGGAGCGGTTCAAGTACCCGGAGCTCCTGTTCTTTCTGTGAATACAGACTAACACGGCTGCTACTCTGAAACTATATGCTTCAGTAATTCCTGAAAAGTTTTAAAATCATCACCTGAAAGTGGAGTAGCCTGTGCAATGATTTCATCAGGTAAGAAAGAAGAATCATGTATAGGATCAGAATGATTGTCCTGATGAGCAGGTATTTCATCACTTAAAATTTGTTGTTCCTTTGCGTCTTGAACTAGACAAGGAAAATTATTAGAATTGAGAGTCTGCAAACTGTGAGTCACAAATAGATCCCGTATATTGTGGGAGAACTTGCTCCTGAAATTACGAGTATTGAGGCCATATGGGAAAGAGATCTGGCCAGTTCAGAGGAAACCAAGGAGCATAGTGAGAATGATCATCCTTAGATGTAATAGGAAGCTTCTTCTCATTATTATTTTCTCTCCGCTGATATTTCTTTTTAATGGAAGACTCCTATCAGAGGCTGCGAGGATTTGGTGTCTTTGGCTGAAGAAAACTCTGATGCAGTAACCATGACAGGAGGCTGAAAGATAAAAGTGGGACTTGTGTCCTTAATTTTATTGAAGTGTTTCAAAGAAGTTTCCGTAACTGGTACCCTTGTTGCTTTTTGTGGAGGAGATGTGGAAGGTACTTGCACCAGGGAAATCTCCAAGATTGGTGATTCAGATTCTGAAGTGACCCTGAGGTTTGGTGAAAAGACACAAAGAATTACTTGGAGCTGCAAAGTTATTTGTAAAAGACCTCTTCACTGAGGATGTTGCAGATGTCTCTTCCCTCACTGAATATCCCTCAGTAGCTGAAACCTTTGATGCAGAGTGGGACTTGACTGAAGTTGACAGTGCCAACAGAGGAGGCACAGCAGAGAATTGTCTTGAGCACTCCAATGCCAAGTGGGATGGTGCTGATGCAGTTGGTGACAGAGGAGTAAGTTTAGATGACATTTAGAACTCCTCTTCCCTTGAGCTCTTTTTGTGGAGGAGGTAGACATCTGCGTTGGCTCCCTGCTGTGGCGTAGTACTGAGGATTCCAGTCCCACTCCTTTCCCGTGGGTAGTAGCAGTTCCTTTTGAAAACTCCACCTCATACTCGGCACAGGTAATAATGCCTTCTTTGAAAAGCTCAGCTGGTCTCAAACTGTGGGTCGGGACCCCAAAGTGGGTCGCAGCCTTGTTTCAGTGAGGTTGCCAGGGCTGGCGTTAAACTTGCTGGGGTCCGAGGCTGAAGCCAAAGCCTGAGGGCTTCACCCCTGGGCTGCGGGGCCAAGGCTTTGGTTTCTGCCCGGGGCAGCAGGACTCTGGCTTTGGGCTCAGGGTGGCAGGGCTCAGGCTTTACGTCCCCCCCCCCCCCCCCACGGGTCGTGTAGTAATTTTTGCTGTCAGAAAGGGGTTGTGGTGCAATGAAGTTTGAGAACAGCTGATTAAAGCTCCTCTCTGCAGTTGGCACTGGAGCTGAGGTTGAGTCAGAACTATTCAGTCCTTAAAAGCAGGACTGTTTTGATGGATCTTCCTGAGTTTGCCTGTTTCCTGGCCCCTGAGTTTAGTGTCACAACTCTGATAGGACAATTGGAAGACTGTCTCAGGAAGGAAGAAGCTTTTGTCTATGGTCAGAGCCCAACATAGCTTTCATGTTTATCTGGGGTCGTTCTCTTCCCCCCTCCCCCTCCCATGAGGAAAAAGCTTCAGTCTAGATTGCTTCTCCCTTTGTGCCCACTTCTTGATGGGTGTGCAAATGGTACAGTTATCTGGGATAACTGGGAGTTCCTCAGCCATGACATATGCCTTATTGTCTGGGTATCAGTGAGAGGAATATTTCCTTCTCCCCCGCGCCCACTCCCCAGGATTGGCATGACTTAAAACCTGGGAATTTAGGCTCTACCGAAAGCTGCACTCGCCCCCCCCCCCCGATCTGCTGCTAACTGAAACAGTAAAAAGTAACCAACTATAAACAAACTGTTAACTTCCAGCCTAAATACTCAGTAACCAGAATAATACAGATGGACACTGTTGTTCCA